CCGAGAGAACGAGGGGATGTAGAGACCAGTGAGGAAACCAGAAGGGACAGCCGGGCACGGGAGAGTGGTCGAGCTGCGAGCGACTGCTGGTCCTGAACTATGATCAGCCAGGGCAACTGGGACTAGAGCCGAAACAGGTGTGACAGTGGTGTGGTCGCGGAAGAAGCAATGCGACGCGCCTGAGTCCAGCGTGAAGGAGAGCGACGCGACAGCAGTCGTCACGGCTGGACTAGTGACTACACAAGCACCTACACTAAAAGCACAAGTACATACACTAGCAACATGCAAAGAGCCTAAGCTGGGTACACGCAAGCCAAGAGACCCATACGTGACAGAATAAACAGCATCCATAGACATATCAAACACAGGGTAACCACTACGAGACAGACCGGGCCAGATCGGTGGCCTCGACTCAGACCCAAAACGCTCACGGTAAAGGTCGTCGAGGCGACTGTAGCAGCGGTGTGCAGAGTGGTCAGGACGCCAGCATGTAGTGCCAGCACCAGGGCCAGTCAGGATCCGGTACTGGCAGGGGCCGACGTCGCGACCACCGCGACGAGCCCCCCAGCTGGCTGGGCCGCTGCTGCAGCCAACGCTACCCGAACCACCAGGCCCCCACGGCTGCTGAGGGCGCCACTGCTGCTGAGGGTGCCACTGCTGCTGAGGGCGCCACTGCTGCTGAGGTTCCCACTGCTGAAACTGCCGCTGCTTCTGTTCCTGCTGCTGGAGAACTCTAGTGGACGCCATGGTGAAACTAGGCGAGGAACGGCCGGAGCACGGAGCAAACTGAGTTAGAAGCGACTGGAGCAGGAACGGCTGGAGTGAGACACGGCCGGAGCTAGAAACGACAGGCTAGAAACTACGGGCTCGAGGAGCGGCTGGAGCGAGGAGCGAGAACAACTAGGAGCGCCAGGTGAAACTAGGCGAGGAGTAGCGGCCTCCAGCCGCGGCGGAACGGTGAACCCAGTGAAAGAACGGTAGGGAACGGGAAAACCGACGGTGAGAAAACCCGAGAACGGCCTGCTACGGGCCGTGGCGCGCTAGAGGTGCCAGCCGCTGCGAGAGGTGCCAGTGGGCGGCTAGAAGGAGGTGTGGGCGGCTAGGAGGAGGTGTGGGCGGCTGGGAGGAGGTGTGGGCCGCTAGGAGGAGGTGTGGGCGTCTAGGAGGAGGTGTGGGCGGCTAGGAGGAGGTGTGGGCGGCTAGGAGGAGTTGTGGGCGGCTAGGAGGAGGTGTGGGCGGTTAGGAGGAGGTGTGGGCGGCTAGGAAGGTACGTGAGGTGCTGGGGTGCGTATGTCTGGCCAGGGGCGCGCGTTCCTGGCCAGGGGCGCCCGCTGCTATGCCTGGGTGGCGCGTACTGCTCTGCTAGGGCGCGCGCTGCCCTGTACGTGGGCGCGCGCTGCACTGCAGGGGCGCGCGTTGCTCTGCACGGGCGACGCGACGGGCTGAGGCAGGGCGCACGGGCGACGCGACGGGCTGAGGCAGGGCGCACGGGCTACGCGACGGGCTAGGGTAGGACACACGGGCTACGCGACGGGCTGGGGCAGGGCGCACGGGCTACGCGACGGGCTAGGGTAGGACGCACGGGCTACGCGACGGGCTGGGGCGGAGGCGCGATGCGGAGGGCGCGTAGGCGAGGGCTAGGCGCGGAGGCGCGGAGGGCGCGTTACGGAGGGCGCGGAGGGCGCGTTACGGAGGGCGCGGAGGGTGCGATACGGAGGGCGCGGAGGGCGCTAGGGCGCGGAGGGCGCTTGGGCGCGTGACGGAGGGCGCGTAAGGCGCGGAGGGCGCTAGGGCGCGTGACGGAGGGCGCTAGGGCGCGGAGGGCGCTAGGGCGCGTGATGGAGGGCGCTAGGGCGCGGAGGGCGCTAGGGCGCGTGACGGAGGGCGCGTAAGGCGTGGAGGCACGCTAGGGCGCGGAGGGCTCGAGGGCGCGAGCTAGGCTAGGCTAGGCAAGGATTCTAAACCTACTCGTGATACCATCTCAGAAATAGAATGCAACGGAATGATTGAACTAGAGAAGCAAGGGATACAAATAGCAACCCTAAAAGTGTTGTACTCCCTAGAGTGCTACTCACTGTAGCCTAAGAACCTATAATAACATTTGACACCATCATATGCTTCCATAAGAAATTTTCCCGCACATGAACCCTAGTCATGTCAATTCACGATCCCTCCGAAGCCTGAAAGGCCACTTGTAGTACAGTTACCTTGACAAGTGACCACCTCATAAAAAAGCTCCTTGAAATCTCTCTCACTTTCTCTCAAGGGACTACTGTAATTACCACCTCTAGCAAGCACACACCCTTACTGTAGCATTGAGTTTTATTTCATGAGGCGCACACCCTCACTACAGCGACCCCATGATCTCATCCACAGCCTCACAGCCTCCATCGACAACTTGTGACGTGATCCCTCAGGCATGCTACTCCACACATGCACCCCACTCATGTCAACGCACGATCTCAGCTTGGCGATCCCATTATCTCCTCCAGAGCTTCCATCGACACCCTGTGATGTGATCCCTCAGGCAGACCACTCCACACATGGCGAATCATGGCTCCCTTGGGGCCCTGTCAGCTCCGCATACGGGACCACTATCACCTTGTGTCAGCTACACACCCCTTACTGCAATGCCCCCATGATCTCCTCCAGAGCTTCCATCGATACCCTGTGGTGTGCGTCCTCAGGCAAGCTACTCCACACATGCACCCCACTCATATCAATGCACTTCTATCACTGCAGCGACCCCATTATCTCCTCCAGGGCCTCCATCGAAACCCTGTGATGTGATCCCTCAGGCAGTCCACTCCACACATGCCGAATCATGGCTCCCTTGGGCCCTGTCAGCTCGGTATACGGGACCACTATCACCTTGTGTCAGCTACACACCCCTTACTGCAATGCCCCCATGATCTCCTCCAGAGCTTCCATCGACACTTTGTGATGCGTGCCTTCGGGTAGACCACTCCACACATGCCGAATCATGGCTCCCTTGGGCCCTGTCAGCTCCGCATACGGGACCAGTATCACCTTCTGTCAGCTCCACACCCCTTACTGCAATGCCCCCATGATCTCCTCCAGAGCTTCCATCGACACTTTGTGATGCGTGCCTTCGGGTAGACCACTCCACACATGCCGAATCATGGCTCCCTTGGGCCCTGTCAGCTCCGCATACGGGACCAGTATCACCTTCTGTCAGCTCCACACCCCTTACTGCAATGCCCCCATGATCTCCTCCAGAGCTTCCATCGACACTTTGTGATGTGTGCCTCCGGGCAGGCCACTCCACACATGCCGAATCATGGCTCCCTTGGGCCCTGTTATCTCGGCATACGGGACCACGATCACCTTCCCCTTCCACTGCTCCTGCCGAACAACGGCGTTCAGGTTCGCTTGCTCCCACACGTGCTTGTATCGATGGATTTCGTCCGCTTCATTTATTATGTACCATTGCCTCAGGAACTGCGAGGGAGTGGGAAGAGGGAGGGGACACGAGGGCACGACACTTGCGTTCCTCATTTTCAAGATGAGTCGACTCAAAAGTCATCTTTCAAACGATTGGCTGCAAGCATGTTCTTTGAGTCGACCAAATCACCTCCGGCTGCAAGCATGTTGTCCAAACACGTGCCATGCCAATGCGATCTAAACTGGTTCAATTCAAATACCCCCCCTCCCCCCCCCCCCTCCTTCTCACTCCCCCTCTTCCACCTCAAAGGCCCCCATCCCCCCCACACTTCCTCCCCCCCCCTCCCCTCTCACTCCCCCACCTAAAAAAAACAAGTACCTGATTAACCTCTAAAACCACTCACCTTGAAGGTACTTAAAGACCGTCTATAGAGCATCACCCCCGCATTCAGATAGTCTCAGTTCTCCATAAACAGCAGATCCAATCAGCGCCCCCATCATAACCCCCCTCGCGCGAGTGTTGCGTTGACTCAAAGCTCACCTCGAAAGCCCCCATCATACAAAGCAGCACCCCCGCATTGAGACAATCGTGGTTCTCCGAAAACAGCATATCCGTGCCCCCGTCATACCCCCCCCACGCGTCCCATTCCGTGGTACCTCACTGATTCGCCTCTGGAAACGCTCACTTCAAAGGTGTCGAGGGACCGTCTACACAGCAGCACCCCCTCATTCAGATAGTCATGGTTCTCTGTAAACAGCATGTCGGCGCCGCCATCATACCCCACTTGCGCGTCCCCATTCCATGGTACCTGATTTACCACAGGAGAAGAGAAGCTCACCTCGATTGTGTCGAGGGACCGTCTACACAGCAGCACCCCCGCATTGAGATAGTTTTTTAGGCACCCCAGAAATAGACACATCAGGAAGCACTCACCTTGATTGTGTAGAGGGACCCCCATTGAGATAGTCATCGGCGTCCCCATAATACCCCCCTCCCGGGTTTTGAGTTGACTCGAAACTCTCCTAGAGGGTGTCCAGTGACCGTCTACAAAGCAGTACCCCCCATTCAGATAGTCCCGGACTCTATAAACAGCAGATTCGATTCGCGCCCCCATCGTACCCCCCTCGGGAATTTCGAGTCAACTCCAATCTCACCTCAATTGTGTCCAGGGACCTCCCACAGAGGCCTTCGCATTGACATGAACATGACAATCCCAGTGCTCCATAAACATCACATCCGCATCCGCATCATACCCCCCTCAAGAGTCCCCATTCCGTGGTACCTACCTGATTCACCTCAGGAGGGAGAGAAGTTTACCTCGAAGGTGTCCAGTGATCTTCTACAGAGCAGCACCCCCCCATTGAAATAATTGCGCTTCTCCAAAAATAGAAGATCCGATGAGCGCACACATCATACCCCCCAATTGCAAGTCCCCATTCCATGGTACCTACCTAATTCACCTCAGGAGAAGAAAAGCTCACCTCGAAGGTGTCAAGGGACCGTCTACACAGCAGCACCCCTGCATTGAGATAATCGTGGTTCTCCGAAAACAGCATGTCGGCACCCCCATCGTACCCCCCCCACAAATTCTGAGTCAACTCAAAAGTCGACTCAAAAGTCCACTCACCTCTAGGGTATCCAGTGATCTTCTACAGAGCAGCACCCCTGCATTGAGATAATCGTGGTTCTCCGAAAACAGCAAGTCCGCGCCGCCATCGTACCCCCCCCACGCGTCCCCGTTCCGTGGTATCAGAGCCACGGGCCCCTCCGGCTGTAGCGCGGTGGCCGGCTGTAGCAGCAGGGCAGGGTCTTGTGGGACCCACACCTGGCCTTCCAAGGAGTCTGTCACTTGGGCATCCAGGAGCCAGTTGAAGTAGTTCTGGGAACAAGTGGTCAGGAGCGGTGAGGAGGGATGAAGCAGGGTAAGGAGGGGTGCAACTTTCGCTATTCATGTCCTGTGGGACCCACACCTGGCCGTCCAAGGAGTTTGTCACTTGGGCATCCACCAGCCAGTTGAAGTAGTTCTGGGAACAAGTGGTGAGGAGGGGTGCATAGGGGTGAGGAAAGGTGCATCGTTATACATTGTACGACCCACACCTGTTCGTCCAAGAAGTGAGCAGGGGTGAGGAGGGGAGGAGGGGTGCATCGGTCAGAGTTCATGTCTTGCGGGACCCACACCTGGCCTTCCAAGAAGTCAGTGACTTGGGCATCCACCAGCCAGTTGAAGTAGTTCTGGGGATAAAGAAGTGGTGAGGAAGGGTGAGGAGGGGTGAGCAGGGGTGAGGAGTCTGTGATTTGGGCATCCACCAGCCAGCTGAAGTAGTTCTGGGGAGAAGGAAGTGGTGAGGAGGGTTGAGAAGGCTGCTTGATGTCCTTTATCCAGGCTTCGACTGAGAGGTGGTGGTGGTGCATGCGCATGTATGCGTCTGAATCGACAAAGAATGCCCACTGGCATGTATGCAGGAGAGCATGATGGGACGGGCATGGATGCACTCACAGGTTTCTTGATGTCTTGGATCCAGTCATCGATGGAAAGGTGGTGGTGGTGCATGCGCATGTAGGCATCTGAATCCACAAAGAAGGCCCACTGGCAGCAGCACGACAGCTGCTCCTGCAGAAACGGTATCTGCAGGGGGGGCGGATTGAACGGAGTGAACGGAGGGAACGGAGTGAACGGAGTGGACGGAGGGAACGGAGGGAACGGAGTGAACGGAGTGGACGGAGGGAACGGAGGGAACGGAGTGAACGGAGTGAACGGAGTGAACGGAGTGAACGGAGTGAACGGAGTGAACGGAGTGAACGGAGTGAATGCATGCCACCCGGTAGCAGTGCCAGCCACCCACACGCAGGGCGACTCCTATAGGAAAATGCTGTTCTCACATTGAACCAACCAGGTCCATTTACACACGCAATAAGTGGGGTGGGGTGCCACACTCGCCTTAACCCAGGAGGGGAAGCCTCAAGCAGACTCCCTGACTGGTGCCCTCACCTTGAACCACGAGGGGTGTCTATCCTGGGTGTGTAAGTGGGTGCTGCACTAACCTCACTCACACTCACCTTGAACCACGAGGGGTGTCTATCCTGAGTGTATTTTGAACCGTTTTCCACCACGAATCGATACCCATGCCGGTGCGCGTATATCCTGAAGGAGAGAAATGGAAAGGCACGCGTGCATTTTGAAGTAATTAGGGTTTCTGGACTAAGTCCCATTGACTGTGTGGTGGCAGCATGGTTGCTTGCACTCACACTTACGTTCATGCTGACGTGGTAACAGACACGCATGCAGACATGATGACATAGCAGCAGGAGCACATACTCACATGTAGACACCGCAATGCATACAAACACATGTTGGCATCATGTAACATACAAACACATGTTGGCATCATGTAACATACAAACACATGTCGGCATCATGTAACATACAACAACATACTGTCACTGTATAATAACACATGCTCGCATGTCGACACCTTGGCAAATACACACAAAGCATGACGTGATACAACCATACGCACATGTTGACGGCCAGGGTGACCCAAATGGGCATCTTCAGCTGATCCTCATTCCCATCCGCGCCCACCACCTTAGGCAGCGCACCATAGAACCTCCGCCACTCCTCAGACATCCCCTTTCCGCCCTCTCCTCTCCCCTTCTCCGTCTCCTTCTCATCCTTCCCCTGCCCCGCATCCTTCCCCTGCCCCTCATCCATCCCCTCTCCCTCATTCTTCCCCTGCCCCTCAGCCTCTCCCCCTCCTTCATTCAGCCGCCTACCCCACCGTCCCTCGTACACACCCCACTCCCCATCCCTCACCCCCCTCCCCAGCCTCCCCCCTTCCACCTCCCTCTTACTCCGTTCCCGCATCTTCCCCCTCCGCCCTACCTGTCCCGCACCCCCTGCCCCCGTCCTTACACCCTCCCCCCATCTCCGCTCCCCCCCTCTCCCTTTCCCCCATATCCCTTCTTCCCCCACCCTTTCCGTCTCCGCCCCCAGGTCCCGCAGGAGCCGCGCAACAGCCGCCTCCACTGGCTTTTGAGTCGCCCCCCCCACTCCCTCCGCCTCCGCTGGCTTTTGCGCCGACTCAAAAGTCTTCTTCCCCTCCACCCCCAGGTCCCGCAGGAGCCGCGCTACAGCCGCCTCTACAGCCAGCACCCCCTCAGGGTTGTAGCGCGAGTCGAGAGTGAGAATGCAGCCGGGCCGCTCCCACTCCGCCACAGGCAACCGAACCGAAGGGGAGAGGTTCCATAGCTGGCTGATGTCCGACCGAGCCTGAGGTTTGGAAACGAAGGTTGGGCATAGAGGCGAGGAGAGGTGTGAAGATGTAGGCGTAGGGACCGAATTGCGATAAATGATTTATGTTGTTCATGACTCGAAGAATCCGTTATATCCAGTGAATTGCTGCGTTTGTCTACAGAATTTAGCAATCGTAACGTCGAAAGATTAGTGCGATCGACGGTGGTGAGAACCTCCACCCTAACCTCAGATCGATTGTCGTTACTCTTTTGCGAAAGACGGTTTCAGTAACCGGACAGTTCCAGCTCGAGCTAGGCGCGTGTCGAGCTAGGAACCGGACATTGCGATATTTCCTTCCGTCAGAGAGCGTGGTTCCCTTCGCATATGGGCTGGCGAGGTATCCAAATTTCACTGACTGAAGATTTCTCGCGACAGCGAATTCGAACAAGTTTCGCGAGCTGACCCGTGTGCATTGGTTCGCACCAGGTCGTGACAGTAGATCGCATTGTTAGTGCGCACCAAGGCAAGCTGGTGAATCGCGTTGGCTCGCGTTTTGATGTTTGACCGCCAGAATGAACCCGTAACTCGGTATATCGTAGTACTTCGGTACGCAGCAAGGCGGTTCTGCTGCACCTGTCGTTACCTGTCGTGCGAAGTCGGAATTCCTCGGCACAAAGGCACGACGTGATTGGTTGGAAGGTGCAGCTTTCAAGGTTCCCACGAAGTGGCGAAGAAAATATGTGGAGTGGAACACATCCCAGACTTCTCCCACACACCGAATTTTCGGGATTTGTGATACAAGCGAGGCATCACTGGGTTGATTTCGCAGCCAAAAAGCCGAAGCCCGCAATTTCACCTAGGTAATCGGTTAGTAGTAGTAGGCTTAGATGTGCTCACCTGCACTTACAAGCATAAACGCCCGAGTAGCCTATTGAAAAATCCACTCACTTGGTTAGTAGTGGCGTTCATGCATAGCATGAAAACGAGAGGCACGAGAAGGCCGACCGCGCAGCCAACGATCCATGGTCGCGATTCCACCACACTCGTGGCGCGGCCTTTCTGGCATTCACCCGTTTTTTGCGGCGAATCTAAACCGTTCGACTGTCCCTGCAAAATCTTCAATTTCTTCCTCCAATCCAGCAAAACTTGCGAGATACTAAATATGGCCAGATCTTGATCCTGATCCCCATCCGAATTCCGATCCCAACGCCTGGAAGCCCGCGAGCCGTCTTTTTTCCGTCTGAGTAATGTTTCCGTTTCGGCCGCGTTCCGATCGCTCGCAACTCCAATCGCAGGATAGGTATCCGCTTCGACGTCCTTCCGTGATGGGACATCATGAAGCACACTCTGAGCCTCGACGCATCCAGACTCCGGTGGACCTAAAACGCCCGAGGCTTCATGGCCCGAGAATTCGTCAGTCTCGAATCCACCCATCAATGTCGGAAGCGCACACTTAATAAAACTCTAATTCGCGCCTCGTCGAACGAACTGATACGAATTGGCTCACAAAGAAACAGTCATAAATTGGCTCGCGCGGCGGCTCTTGCAAACGGCGCGAGATGCCGCAGAATCAGCGATGAGACGATGGAGGAAATGCGTGCGCAGGTCCCTAGTCGCAAATAGGCTGTCGCCGATACGAAAGTTATTCAAAACCCTGCCAAAAAAGGGCCGCTCAGAGTACATCCGAAGGCCGCCACGGAAATCACTACGCGAGCTAAGGGTTGGCTCAAACTGAATGTTATTCAAACCCTCACACCGACTGACTGATGATACTAGTTGTTGTTCCTGGGCTGATTCCTTCCCCCCGTGTCTTAGATGCGGCTGCCGACAAATGTCAGACTCTTGGACAGACATCCGAGGATGTCGAGAGAGCTGAACTGTCAGATCTTGGACCTTCGACATATCCGACGGTTCACCTCCGTCAACGTTCCACTTCAGAGAAATCACAGTCCTTGGGAGCGGTCGAAGAGGAGCCTGGCGGTTGGGACGGAACAACCGCCGAAGGAGCAACTGCTGCAAGAAATGACTGACTGCTGCAATGAGTGACTGGCTGCTGCAAGGAACGACAGGCTGCAAGGAACGACCGTTATAACATACAAGCAAAGATGGCAGGCAAGGTCGTCGTGGGTCTCGAAGCGCTAGGCTAGAGCATGCCTACAGTTCTAGCTGGGGTGCTGCAAAGCAGTCTTCCAGCAAGACAAGTTACTACAGCGGTGTATCAGATGCGGTGTTTCACGCATCAAACGCGATATACACACATCGCACGTATTGTGTTAGACAACAAAACTCAAAACACTTTCAAGTCATCATTACGTATAGAAAGAGTGCGCAATGGTTGAACTGCATAAGCACACCACAGCAATATATGTTCATCTATCAGCACACCACATAAGCACACCACAGCAATATATATTCATCTATAAGCACACACATCATCTATATTCACCACCGATTACCCGTAGCAACATACAAGCGTCGGGAAGATACCATCCGTGTGCACGAACTTGCACATTACGCGTTCGATGAGGACCAAACCTTTCAAGCAGAGAGACTGATTATATGCGCCGCGACGACCCGCTCACTAACTAACTTCTCACGCAGAGTCCTGAGCCAGCCTGTCAACAGCAAGCCACGCTTCTCCGGGACACGTTTTTCCAATCGAGACACGTTTTTTCAATAGTCTTAAGACTCGATTTGGGGGCGTCTCAGAAGCCGCAGGACACGCGTCCCCGTGACACGCGTCCCCGTGACACGCGTCCCCGTGACACGGGTTCCCCAGCCACGATTCCCCCAGGCAGTCCACTTCAGAAGGCTTATGTGAGAGCCCTCTCTCTCCCGGGACTACTAGTAGCCAGTGGCGCCACCCGCGCGAGCCGCCGTTCCTGACGCGACGGCCGCGCGGCATCTAACGGTCGACGGCGACGTGGGGCTGTCAGACGACGCGGCTCGGAGCCTCGCGCGCGGGTTCTTTCTGGGAGGCTTCCTGCTCCTCCCGTGGCTGTGGTTCGTTAACTGCTACTTCTTCTGGCCCGTGCTTCGTTATAACGCCGGCCACGACCCCCAGCTCCGGTCGTGTGAGTATCTGCGCAAGGCTTCGATTTAGCTCCAGCAATCGCCTCTGATTTCTCTGTGTGGTTCTGCCGTCCGCCCACGCCCCCTCCTTTCTATCCTTAGTCACAATCTCCCCTGTGTTTCCAGAGTGTTCATGAGAATACCCCATATCCACCCAACTTCCCTCCTTTTCCATTCTCTCGGCCCAACCTGTCTTCCCCTCCCCCACCTCCACCTTCTCAGACCACCTTGTTCTTCTCCCTTCCCCCTTTTTCACCAACCTCCTTCCTCTCTTCCCTCTCGTCCCTCCTCCCCTTCACCCCCCCTTTTGCCGCACACGGATATGCCGGGGTTGACCGTTGGCAGCAGTGTTGCCGGATTCTCCCTTCCCCCACTCTCTCCCTGCCTCTTCTTCCTCTGAACTTCTTCCCTGTGCCCCCGTTCCTCCCCCTCTTCCTCTCATTTTCCCCATCTTCCCCCTCTCCGTTTTCCCCTGGTTTCTCTCGCTCTCTGAATATTTTCCCCCGATTTCACCCTCCTCTCCCCGTCCACCTTCCATTCGCATTCACAGACGTGGTGGGATCAGCCATTGGCTGCATGTGGCCTTCTCCCTCCCTGCCTTTCCTCTCTCTGAACCTCCTTCCCACCCTCCCGTTCTCCCTGTTTCCGCTCCCTCCCGCATTCTCAGACGTGGTGGGATCAGCCATTGGCTGCATTGTCGCCTTCTCCCCCTCTTGCCTCTTCCCCTGATTTTCCTCTCAACCAACCCAATTTTCCCGTCTTCTTCTCCCCCTTCTCCCTTTTCCCCTCTGCCCTTCCAATTCAGACGTGGTGGGATCAGCCATTGGATGCAGTGTCGCCTTCTCCCTGCCTCGTCTCCTTCAGCTCCTCTCCACCAACCCAATCTTCCCCATTTCTTCTCCTCTTTCACCCCCTTGATTTCAGACGTGGTGGGGTCAGCCATTGGTTGCAGTGTCGCATTCTCCCTGCTTGCCTGCTGGTCGCTGGCGTACTCTCTAGGAGGGGAGGCTCTATTAGGGGCTGACACGTGGCAGAAGCTAGCAGTGTACAATATTGTAGATGGCATTTTGTAGTCATTTTTACTACCGTACAGTTTTTGTTTGTCTCTATTATGGGCTGGCAACACTAGGCAGAAGCTAACTCTGTATGTAGAATACAGTAGGTGGCGTTTGGTAGTTTTGGTTACAATACAATGTCTGATATGCATGTGATGTGATCTCTCCCTGGGTTAACACTGCCACACAGTGCAACTGTTCTCATCTCAGTTACCATTCCATGCAACATATACTGAACCTTATGCAACGTATCTCAATCCCAGTCATGCGGTGCAGTCATTTATCTCCCGTGCATGACCCACCATCTGCTTCTGTGACTGACACCCCTCTCCTCACACCAGCCTTGCGAAGCAGATCCAGCCTGTCCCCTCCCAGCCCGCCCCTGTCCTGCCTCCTTGCTTGTTCCCAACTCTCTTTGGTAGTCTCCAAGCAATAAGCGCTCTCCTTGATGAAAATGTGTCGTGTGCCATTGTAACGAGGTGACTCTTGAGTTGACTCAAAAGTCACCGCAAAGCATATCTAGCCTGTCCCCTTCCAGCCTGTCCCCTCCCAGCCCGCCCCTGTCCTGCCTCCTTGCTTGTTGGTATGGTACTTGCCTTGTTCCGCTCAACCCTCTACTTCTGTGACAGCCCTCTCCATATCGCTGCCTTGCGAAGCAGAGCCAGCCGGTCAGCCCCCAGCCCAGCCCTCCCTTGCCCTGCCCTGCTTTTCCACGCCCCCAGCACCGCAGCTCGCTTCAACACACCAGTCGCTGCAAGGCATTTCACAACTTTTGACGGGATGTGACATCTACTTCTGTGACAGCCCTCTCCTTATCGCTGCCTTTCTAAGCAGAGCCAGCCGGTACGCACCCAGCCCTCCCTTGCCCTGCCCTGCCCCTGTCTCTCTCCTCTCCTCTCCTCTACTTCTGCGTCTGCCCTCTCCTTATCGCTGCCTTTCTAAGAAGCGCCAGTCTTTCAGCACCCAGCCCTCCCTTGCCCTGTCCTGCCTTCCACGCCCCCAGCACCGCAGCTCGCTTCAGCGCACTAGTCGCGGCAACGCATCTCAGAAAGAACTTCTCTACTTTTGTGACAGCCCTCTCCTTATCGCTGCCTTTCTAAGCAGAGCCAGCCGGTCAGCCCCCAGCCCTGCCTTCCCCTGCCCTGCCTTCCACGCCCCCAGCACCTCTGCTCGCTTCAACACATCCCCTCCCTTCCTCCTCTCCTCCTCTTCCTCCCCTTCCTTTTGAGACTTCTCAGAGGTAGCATCCCCTCCCTTCCTACTCTCTGCTCCCTCCTTCACCTCCTCCTCCTCCACCTCTCCCCTCTCCACCTCCCCCTTCTCTTCTCCTTCCCCAGGCCCAGATGCACCTCCCCCAGCTTTCCCTCCCTCTTCTGCTACTCGCCCCTCCTTAAACCCCCCTTCTCCTTCCCGTTCAACATCCAACTCACTAACCCCAGTCTCACCCTCCCTAGATCTACCCTCCTCGGTTAAACCTTCTCCGGTTCTACCTTCGCCAGTCTCACCTCCCTCCTGCCTCGCCACCTCAGAGGAAACATAAACCTCTGCGGTTTCACCTGCCTGTTCATGTGCCACGTCAGCATCTGCTGCTGCTGCTGCTGCACGTGCCACCTGCATGGCCAGAGGCCCGAGACGGGCGGCGAGATATGTCTGCTTCTGGTGGAGGTCCGACAGGCACTCCCATTCAAAGAAAGGTATCTGCGGTGGAGAGCGGTGGAGGGAGGTAGGAGTGGGTTTAACATTGACATGCTAAGGTAAAAAATATTCCAGTGGTAGCAATAGTGTTTCGTGCGTTCAATTGAATCCCGAGAGCAAACGCCAATCAGACGGGCAGGGCCAGTCAAACAAGGCATTTGGAATCAAGGGACGAGGGGCGCGAGTGAGAGGAGCCGGAGAGGAAGAGGGAGGAGAACAGGGCGAGGGATGAGGGAGAAAGGTCTGATTTACATTCACTGATATTCCCATATATCCATATATTTTCTGGTGTACTGCAATGGTGGAATTATTACTTTTGTACACCCTGCAACCTCATCTGAGCAACCTACCACAAACAGACATTTCAGTATTCTGAACAACCTCAAGCCACAGAGCCACCCATCTGGATCACATAAAGCCAACAAAACCATCCACCTGAACCACCTGAAGCCAACAGAGGAACTCACCTGAACCACCTGGCACCAACAGAGGAAATCACCTGAACCACCTGACACCAACAGAGGAACTCACCTGAACCACCTGCCAACCTCGGCAGCGCAGCAGCCTGGCCTTGAGGCGAGTGGGACCCAGCGGCACGTGCTGCTGCTGATTGTGCTGATGAGGGTGCTGCTGAGAATGCTGCTGATGCTGCTGCTCCTCAGTCGTCATTCCAGACGTGCTTATAGTGAAATGTGATGGCCCGTCCGCTTCCACTGCTATCTTCAGAACACGCCTCTCTCTCCTCCTAGAATCACGCCTCTTAGAGTCACTCCCCGTAGATTCTGTAGGGGCGAGAGGCAGGAGGAGGGCGAGGTCGATGCTGTAGTCGCCGTCTCGGTACTCGAGGGTGTGGGGGAGGTGCATCTGGTGCAGGGCGGAACTGATGTCCCTCTGCAACCCTGATACTTGTATCTTCTCCTCCTCGTGAGCCGCCTCCCAACACGCCTGGCATGGGAGAAGAAGCACGCAAGCGCGAATGCACAGAAGCACACATGAAGAAGAGGGGCAAGGCAGGGCAGGGAAGGGCAGGGCAGGGCAGGGCAGGGCAAGGCAGGGCAGGGAAGGGCAGGGGAGACTTGAGAGGGCTCGTGGGGCGAGCGGCAGGAGGAGGGCGAGGTCGATGCTGTAGTCGCCGCCTCGGTACTCGAGGGTGTGGGGGAGGTGCATCTGGTGCAGGGCGCAGCTGATGTCCCTTTGCAGCCCAGATACCTGCAGCTTCTCCTCCTCGTGAGCCGCCTCCCAGCACGCCTGTGGTAGGGGGCAGCACACAAGAATGAAGGTGTGTGCATAGGGGGTTGAGTTGAGAGGAGGTGCATCTGGTGCAGGGCGCAGCTCATGTCCCTCTGCAGGGCTGACACCTGCAGCTTCTCTGCTTCGTGGGCCACCTCCCAGCACGCCTGCAGAGGGTATACACACATGAAAATGCGTGGGGCATTGACGGGAGGTGCATCTGGTGCAGGGCGCAGCTGATGTCCCTTTGCAGGGCTGACACCTGCAGCTTCTCCTGCTCGTGAGCCGCCTCCCAACACACCTGTAGTGGGAGAAGCACACACAAGGATGGAAACATGCACACACACACACACATGAAGGCACGCGCCGCGCGGGGTGGTTGAGTTCCGGTGCATCTGGACTGGAAGGCACCTGGAGCACAACGGCACCTGAGCTATGGAGAATGTCTACAATTCTTTGATTCCACTCCTCATCCCCACTCCCTAACCTTAAGCCTCCCCCCCCATTGCCTCACCTTTGCCCTTCCCCCCCACCGCCTCACCTCAGCCCTCTACTTTTACTGCCTCACCTTTGCCTGTTGTCGCACAAACCCCGACAGCCACAGGTGCTGCAAATACCAATACGACTCGTCCCTCTCCTCCTGCTCCCTTGGTTCTTCTCCTGCTCCTGCTCCCCATCTTCCCTATCCCCCGTTACTGCCTCACCTTCGCCTGTTGTCGCACAAACCCCGACAGCCAAAGGTGCTGCAAATACCAATACGACTCGTCCCTTTCCTCCTCCTCCTCCTGCTCCCTTGGTTCTTCTCCTGCTCCTGCTCCCCATCTTCCCTATCCCCCGTTACTGCCTCACCTTCGCCTGTTGTCGCACAAACCCCGACAGCCAAAGGTGCTGCAAATACCAATACGACTCGTCCCTTTCCTCCTCCTCCTCCTGCTCCCTTGGTTCTCCTGCTGCTCCTGCTCCCCATCTTCCCTATCCCCCGTTACTGCCTCACCTTCGCCTGCTGCCGCACGAATCCCGACAGCCACAGGTGCTGGAAATACCAATACGATTCGACCCTCTCCTCCTCCTCCTCCTCCTCCTGCTGCTTTGGTTCTCCTGCTGCTCCTGCTCCCCATCTTCCCTATCCCCCGTTACTGCCTCACCTTTGCCTGCTGCCGCACGAATCCCGACAGCCACAGGTGCTGGAAATACCAATACGTTTCGACCCTCTCCTCCTCCTGACACGTCTCAAAAGCCTGCTGCCTTCCCACCGCCTCACCTTCCACTCCCCCCCTCCCCCCCTTCTTCCTCGCCTCACCTTCGCCTGTTGCCGCACGAATCCCGACAGCCATAGGTGCTGCAAATACCAATACGTCTCATCCCTCTCCTCTTCCTCCTCCTCCTCCTCCTGCTGCTCCCCTTGCTTCGTCTGCTCCTGCTCCCCCCACTCCCCATCTCCCTCGCTCCCACTTCCACTCGTGCTCCTGCCAGCATCAGTCACCATGGCTCCCATGCCCCCTTGTACCAGCCGAGTGTTGTACTCCGGTGCCTCTAGCTGGGTGGCTAGGTCGACCTGTGGACGAGGGAGACAGGGAGGGAGGTAGGGAGCGAGGGAAGGAAACAGGGCTCATGGCAGGAGGGAGGGAGGGGGGAGAGGAGCACTCCCACCATCAGTCATCATGGCTCCCATGCCCCCCGCCACCAGCCGAGTGTTGTGCTCCGGTGCTTCCAGCTGGGTGGCTAGGTCGACCTGAGGAGGAGGGAGCGAGGGAGGGAGGGAGTGAGGGAGGGAGTGAGGGCAACAGAGCTCATGGCAGGCGAGAGGGAGGAGGAGAGAGCAGCACTGTCAGCAACGCTCATGGCTCCCATGCCGCTCGCCACCAGGCGAGTGTTGTGCTCCGGTGCTTCAAGCTGGGTGGCCAGATCGACCTGCATCAAGGGAGGGAACCACGGAGTGTTCGGTACAATCACAGTGTGATTCAATCAATCTGCCTTCCTGCCACCATCCCGCCCGCCACCAGCCGAGTGTTGAGCTCCGGTGCTTCCAGCTGGGTGGCCAGGTCGACCTGAGGAGGAGGGAGGGAGGGAGCTTCATACAGCCCATCTGGCATAGCTCAGAGGAGGGGAGGTCGCTGGTGAGGGAACAATACAAGAATGTGTGCGTGCTATGATGGGTGGTCGCCTGTGTGTGCTTGTGCGTGCTATGTGTGAACCACACCTGGTACAGCTGGCAGAGCTCAGAGGAGGTGAGGTCGCTGGTGAGGGAGAGGAGGTGGTGAGAGAGGGCAGGTGGTGAGAGAGGGCAGGTGGTGAGAGAGGGCAGGTGGTGAGAGAGGGCAGGTGGTGAGAGAGGGCAGGTGGTGAGAGAGGGCAGGTGGTGTGCACATGCGTTGGACACGCCTGTAGCCTGCGTGTGAGAGTGCACGTGTGCGCTTTAACTCCACCTGGCACTGCCCACCTGGCTCACCTCACCTGGTAAAGTTGGCAGAGCTCATTAGAGGTGAGGTCGCTGGTGAGGGAGAGCAGGTGGTGACGCAGGATGGGGAGAGCTGGGCTGAGAGAGGCCGTGGAGGGGGAGGAGGAGGCGGAGGGGAAGGAGGAGGAGGAGGAGGAGGAGGAGGAGGAGGAGGAGGAGGAGGGGAGAGAGGATGGGGAGTTGGTGGTGGTGATGTTGGTGGTGGGGGGAGGGGGAGCAGGAGCAGCAGAGGGTGTGTCAGTTTGCCCATGCACCACGAGGGCCCATGCGAGCATCACCAGCGCCTGACGCCCAAACTCCTGCTCTCCTGCCCGCACTGCGAGGCGACGGATGATCTGCAGACAGGGGAGAGAGGGGGAAGAGGATCGGGAGTTGATGGTGGTGGGAGGAGGAGCAGGAGGAGCAGAGCGAGGATCGGGAGTTGATGGTGGTGGGAGGAGGAGCAGGAGGAGCAGAGCGTGTGTCGGTTTGCCCATGCACCACGAGAGCCCACGCCAGCATGACCAGCGCCTGCCGCCCAAGCTCCTGCTCGCCTGTCCGCACGGCCAGACGACGGATGATCTGCACACAGAGGCAAGACAGCAGGAGAGGAGTGGGAGGGGGTGATGATGGGAGGAGGAGCAGGAGCAGGAGCACCAGCGGGTGTGTCGGTTTGCCCATGCACCACGAGAGCCCATGCAAGCATCACCAACGCCTGGTGCCCAAACTGCTGCTCTCCTGACCGCAGTGATAGACGACGGATGATCTGCAGAAAGGGGTTAAGTGGGAGAGGGGGGAGGAGAGAGGAGTGTGGTGGTGGGAATGAGAGAAGCACAGCGAGAGCCCAAGCTAGCATCACCAACGCCTGGCGCCCAAACTGCTGCTCGCCTGACCGCAGTGATAGATGACGGATGATCTGCAGAAGCGGGTTAGGAGGGGAGACAGAGGAGAGGAGAGGAGAGGAGAGGAGACGAGGCGCAAGGAGGAGCAGTGGAACAAAGGAACAGGTGGCTTGAGTTGAGACAAACTGAAACCCAGCCGGATGATTTTTGAGTCGACTCAAAAGTCACCTCGTTACCATGGCACGAGAGGAGGGGCAAGGAGGAGCAGTGGAAGAAAGGAACAGGTGGCTTGAGAAAAACTAAAACCCAAGGTACAAATGATTTGTGAGTCTGCCTGGGTGGGTTTTTGAGTCGACTCAAAAGTCACCTCGAGAGGAGATGAGGGGCAAGGAGGAGCAGTGGAAGAAAGGAACAGGTGGCTTGAGACAAACTGAAACCCAAGGTACAAATGATTTGTGAGTCTGCCTGGGTGGGTGGGCAGCTCGACCAGCCTACATGGCTTTTGAGACGTCTCAAAGCTCGACCAGCCTACATGGCTGTATGTATACCTGCCAAGCCATGACATGCACCATCACATGGCCAGTCTACATGGCTGTATTTGTATACCTGCCATTGCCAAGCCATGACATGACATCCACCATCACATGGCCAGTCTACATGGCATAGTACTTTTGAGTCGACTCAAAAGTCTGCTAGGCCAGTCTACATGGCTGTATACCTGCCAAGCCATGACATGACATCCACCATCACATGGCCAGTCTATATGGCATAGTAGGACAGAAACTACCGCCCATCTCAGATTCAACCCGCAGGAAGAGAGGAGGGGCGGCGTGGCCAATCAGAGCAAAGGCGAACGCCAGGCACGCAATGGTGCGGCCGGCGTATCTTGGCATGTAGCGGGTGGCGTGGGCGGCAGCAGCGGAGAAAAAGGGGATGTCGTAGTGACTCTGCGTTGCTAATGCCCTGAACGAGACAAATGGGAAGGAGGAGAAAGTGGGGGGGAGGAGAGAGTAGGGAGAAGAAAAAGGTGGAGAATGGTGTGAGAGGGTGTTAAGAATTCCTGAAAAAAGAGACGTCGTAACGACTCTGTTGCTAATGCCCTGAGGGAAGGGGAAAGAAAGAAGGAGAACGGAAGCGGGGGGGGGAGAGGTTGAAAGAAGAGAGAGCAAGGAGCAGAATGTTGATGGGTAAAGCATGAGTTTGGGAGAAGAAGCAGAGGGAGGAGAGGGAGGAGAGTGGGGAGAGGAAGAGAGGGGAAGGAGGAAAGGGAGGAGAGGGAGGAGAGCGAGCAGAGGGATGGGTGGGTGGTTTAAAATCTGAGGAGAGGAGTCCAGCAGAGGAGAGGAACAGAGATGTGCTGATGTTGTGTTTCCGGCAGTTAAGAATTCCCAAAAACAGCCTGCAACAGGAAAGATGTTGCACTGAGGCTGTGACTGCAACGACCTGAGAAAAATGACAAACTGCAAGCCACCATGCACCACACTCCTTGCAATGAAGACGCTAAGTTCACTTATTAGTGTCACACATGTTTGCCAGCTGGTTTTATTTATTTATTGTTGTCTTATTTTTCTAAATCTAAGAAACTAGCTCGTGTAAAATACGTGTGCACCAGCGCATTTTCCATCACAGTGCAATTGCATCATTGAGATGAATACACCATGCAAACCTGAAACAGCCTCTCAGCACACAACAGCACCGATAAACACGGCAAAGCACCATTTTACACGACACCACACCACACCACACAGGCCCCACACAGCATCGCACCGTACCATGCAATATTGGCTACAGCCTGCCCAGATACAGCCTCCCTCTCCAGTTTCCCGCCCACAATTCGCCTCGTGCTCTCCTCCCCCACTGCCTCTAACCCACCATACACCCCACACTGGACCGCACAGCACCACAGAGCACCACACACCACACAGAAGCACAGGAGAGCACTGTACCGCACCGCACCGCACCGTACCGTACCATGCGATGTTGGCAACAGCCTGCCCAGATACAGCCTCCCTCTCCAGTTTCCCGCCCACGATTCGCCTCGTGCTCTCCTCCCCCACTGCCTCTAGCAACTGCTGGCTGCGGTGGCCTGCTGTTGCATAGGCCCTGTTGGGAGAGTAGGGAGGGGGAGATATGGTATTTGTGATGAAGTGAGTACGATTGACCTATCCGCTCCTCTCCTCCCCCACTGCCCCTAGCAACTGCTGGCCGCGATGCCCTGCTGTGGCGTACGCCCTGTTGAGAGAGGGGGGCGAGGGAAAAGGAGAGTGTTTCTCTAGGTGCACACCTACATGGTTCGCCTCGTGCTCTCCTCCCCCACTGCCTCTAGTAGCTGCTGGCTGCGGTGGCCTGCTGTGGCATACGCCCTGATTCAGATGGGGCAAAGGGAAAGGCGGGAGGAGGGAAGAAAAAGGGGTGTGGTAAGGTGCACTCACAATGCGCCTCGTGCTCTCCTCCCCCACTGCCTCTAATAGCTGCTGGCTGCGGTGGCCTGCTGTGGCGTACGCCCTGATGTGAATGGGGGAAGGTGGGGGGGGTTGGGGAAGGGAAGCAATAATAACATAGCAATACACCATGCATGCAACATCGACATAAAACACTGCTATGCATTAATTTCATGATATAGCACCATCCTCCTTATCAAGGAAATACTGTACCGCACATTACCAGAATAATGTAATATTCAATACTAGAAAATTACTGTACCATGCAATGTTAGAAAGTGACTGTGTGGAGTGTTCTTGTATCGAGCCGATCACCCGCGGCACAAAGAGGGCAAAGACGTTTGGGGAGTTCACGTTGAGACGAGCGAATGCCCTGAGCGGGAGGGCCACGGGGGATGGGAGGGACGAGGGGGATTGGGAGAGGAGGGAGGGACGGAGGACAGAGCGTCTAAAACCACCCGCGGCACAAAGAGGGCAAAGACGTTGGAGAGTTCACGTTGAGACGAGCGAATGCCCTGAGCGGGACGAGGGGGGTTTCAGGAGAGAAGAAAAAAGGCAAGGGAGATTGGAAGTGGGGGAGGGTCTTATCACCCGTGGCACAAAGAGTGCAAACATGTTTGGAGAGTTCACGTTGAGGCGAGCGAATGCCCTGAGTGGGGTTAGGGGTATCAAAGGAGTGGGGACGGGCGAGGGAGATTCAGGTGTATTTCTCTTGGCCCAGGCAGAAAACGCTGAAAAGAGTGAGCAGATCACCAGAACACGTGAAAAAGAGAGGGAGGCTCACCAGAGCATGTTGGAAATGTCTTGCGATTCAAACGCAGGAGCGTTGCTCTCGGCCCACACAGCCAGAGCACGGAAGAAAGGATCGTCTGAATGGTGCAGCTTGGCGAAAGACCTTCAGGAAAGAAGGAGGAGAGTGTGTGGGAGGGAGGAGAGGAAGGTGGCAGAGGGTTTAACACTCAGGCCCACACAGCCAGGGCGCGGGAGAGAGGATCGCCTGAGTGGTGGAGCTTGGCGAATGACCTGCAAAAAGTGGGGAAAGAGAGAGGGGAGAGGGTGGGAAGAGAGGTACGTTGCTCTTCGGCCCACACAGGCAGGGCGCGGAAGAGTGAGTCGTCCGAGTGGTGCAGCTTGGCGAATGACCTGCGAGGGAGAAAAGGAAGGGGGGGAAGAGGGGAAGAGGAAGTGGGAAAGGTGGAAGAGAGGCTTAGGCAAGCAAGTCAGAGGCCGGAAGAAAGGATCGTCTGAATGGTGCAGCTTGGCAAAGGACCTGCAGGACAGAAAGAGAGAGAGAAAGTGTTTCTTCTGAACAAAGGCAAGGCACCCTCCAGCAAGGCAGGGAAACGCAAGAGAGGATCGTCTGAGTGGTGCAGCTTGGCAAAGGACCTGCAGTACAGAAGGAGGATCAAGCCTGGCACCGGCAGAACTTTGGCGAACGAAGCATACAAGATGGGATTTTAGTGGTAGGGTTTGTGATACTCTCCAAGTTCCCATACCACTGCGCAACTTACCATTCCGCACCTGATCATACCGTTCCGTACCATGAATGAATGCACATGCCACGTTGAGCATGCCATGCCATGCCATGCCATGCCATAGCACCTAGGATGGAAATGACATCCAGTGGGCGGATTCACATCACGCCATGCCACGCCATGCCACGCCATGCCACGCCATGCCATGTCGCATCACACCACGTCATGCCATGCCACGCCGTACCATGCGATGATGGCGAGCTGCGGAGCACTGTAGCTGCTCATGTCAGAAAGGACAAGCTTCGCCGCCTCGCGGAAGAGCAGGTGCGAGTGCAGCCCCACCCGTGCGTGCGCCCTGCAAGGGGGGGGGAAGAAGGGGGAGGGGGGGAGAGGGGGAAAAGAAGGAGGGAGGGGGGGGAGGGGGAAGGGGGGAAGAAGGAGGGGAAGGGGGGATTACTTTCGAGGCGCCTAAAAAAGCAGCCCCACTCGCGCATGTGCCCTGCAAGGGGAGGGGAGAACTGTGGGGAGGGATAGAAAGGGCGAAGAGGCGGGGGAGAGGGTGGAATACAAACGGTGAGAGGAGAGGTAGCAGTGGGGAGTGAGGGCAGATGGAGTGCAGCCCCACTAGCCTGTAAGGGCAGGTGCAGGTGTGGGGAAGGATAGAGAGGGCGGAGAGGCGGGGGAGAGGGTGGAATACAAATGGTGAGAGGAGAGGTAGCAGTGGGGATGGAGGGCGGATGGAGTGCAGCCCCACTAGCCTGTAAGGGCAGGTGCAGGTGTGGGGAAGGATAGAAAGGGTGGAGAGGCGGGGGAGAGGGTGGAATACAAACGGTGAGAGGTAGCAGTGGGGAGGGGATTGAGGGCAGATGGAATGCAGCCCCACTAGCGCCTCGTTCTGTAAGGGCAGGTGCAGGTGTGGGGAAAGGTGCTGTGCGGTTGGGTTGGGTATTGAAGGCAGCCCCACTAGCGCCTCGTTCTGTAAGGGCAGGTGCAGGTGTGGGGAAAGGTGCTGTGCGGTTGGGTTGGGTATTGAAGGCAGCCCCACTAGCGCCTCGTTCTGTAAGGGCAGGTGCAGGTCTGGGGAAAGGTGCTGTGCGGTTGGGTTGGGTATTGAAGGCAGCCCGACGAGCGCATTTTTCTGCAAGGGCAGGTGCAGGTGCGGGTGCGGGGGAAAGGTGCGGGATCTCCTAGACTTGGCGTGGATGGTAGCAGTGCAGCGAGCCAATCACGTGCTTGACACATGTAAGACCCAAGGAACTTCCCCTTGTGCACAGTGCAACATACAGAGTAGCTCATGAACAGTGCATCACGACCCGTAACATGTGAACAGTGCACGTGAACAGTACCACGTAAAAAGTGCAACGTGCACAGTACCATAGTATCTCCTTGACGTGGCGTGGCTGGTAACAGTGCAGCGAGCCAATCACGTGCTCCCACGTCAGCCGTCCAATGAGGTCCCGCAACAGGCTGGCGTTGACAGCTGGCAGGGCAGCGGTGGAGCCAAGTGCGTGCATCTGAAGGGGAGGAGATGCAGGAGCGTTGATAACTACTTGAAGAATTTTCAGGTGAGAGGCTTAGGCTGACAGGCTGGCGTTGACAGCTGGCAGGCCGGCAGCGGAACCTGGAGCATGCATCTGAAGAAAGGGGAAGGGAAGGGAGAAGAATGGATGGAGAAGAGGGTAAGAGGGGTTCAGAGAACGGCTTGGCATGGCAGGCTGGCCGGCGGCAGTAGAGCCAAGTGCATGCATCTGAAGGGGGGAGGAGGAATAGGAGTGCTGATAACCACTTATGAGCTTTTGAGGTGAGAAGCTTAGGCTGACAGGCTCAGGGAAAACATTGGATGAGCAAGAGTGTGAGAGGGGTTCAGGAGATGGCTTGGCAACTCGTAATTAGCTGGCACTGACAGCATGCAATCATGCACACACACACACACACACGCACACACACACACACACACACACACACACACACACACACACACACACACACACACACACACACACACGCGCGCGCGCGCGCACGCACGCACGCACGCACGCACGCACGCGCGCGCACACACACACACAGAAATACACTCACACACTCACACACAGACACACGCGCACGCGCGTGCGAGTACACATGCGCACGCACCAGAATGGCCGCCTCCAGTGGCTGGAAGGAATTGATGTGAGCGAGAGATGCTGCCATGATGGTGTTGAGCAGAGAGGGTGGGGTGTGCTGTGCTGATCATTTGACCATCACCACAACTCACACAAGTGCGCACGCACACTCATGACTGCACGTACCAGTATTGCGACTTCCAGCGGCTGGAAAGATTTGATGTGAGCGAGCGATGCTGCCATGATGGTGTTGAGCAGAGAGGGTGGCCGTGCCCCAACTCCGCCTGTGCCCTGAGAGAAGGTCAACGGGGGTCAACGGAAGTCAACGGGAATCAGCGTGAGGCACATCCCATGACGGTGCTTAGCATTGATGGTAAGCCGTGCCCCAGCTCCGCCTGTGCCCTGAATCAAGGGGGGTCAACCGGAGTCAACGCGGGTAAGCGCGGGTCAATTAGGGACAACGGAGTTGCGAGGCACTCAGGAGTCGCATTCAGCATGCAGCAGGGACGGTGGGTTGTGCCTCTGCTCTGCCGTTGCCCTGAATCCAGGGAGTCAACAGTGGTCAACGGGGTCAACGAGGGTCAACGTGGGTCAACTAGGTCATGCAGCAGCGGCAGTGGGTTGTGCCTCTGCTCTGCCGCTGCCCTGATTCCAGGGAGTCAACAGAGGTCAACGGGTTCAACGGGGGTCAAATAGGCCAAATGCTTTGAACTCAAACCTCCCAAAAACCCGAACCCTGAAACCTTGTAGCCCAGAACCCTGAACCCCGACCCTTGGCACCCATCAGTCATGGAAGATGAATGGAAGATGCAACATACATGTCATGTTACACGCGCTCATGAGACTACCGTTCGTGCCTGAACTGGTTACATGTTACCACCACCCACCCAACCATCCATTCACCTGCCCGCCCGCTCGACACCATCCAACCATCCCATCCCACCCATCCCACCCATCCCACCCATCCCACCCATCCCACCCATCCCACCCATCCCACCCACCCACCCACCCACCCACCCACCCACCCACCCACCCACCCACCCACCCACCCACCCACCCACCCACCCACCCACCCATGCACCCACCCACCCATGCACCCACCCACGCACCCACCACACACTCACCATGCCACGTTGGCCAAAGCCTGGCCCTTCAGTCTGCCGCCCTTTGCCAGCGCCTCCACCTGCCGCCCGAGCCACCGGACCGTTTCGTCCTCTTTTAGCTGGTCCACAAGGCGCCGCCCGCCGCCCATGCGCTTGGCGTGCTTGGCAATGCGGTGGAATGCGGTGCAGATGTGTACAGGGGACAGACCTGTGCTTGCCTTCCCTTCCTTTTGGCCCTTCACTCGCTTAGAAGAAAAATTCCCCTCTTCCCCTCTAACTTCTCCCCCTCCACCCTCCCCCACCTTACCCTCCCCCACACTCTCGTCTTCCCCTCTCTCCCCACCCTTTCTCTCCTCATCCCAGCTCTCCTCCCCTCTTCTATCCCCCCGCACACCGCCTCCCACACTCCCTCTCATCTCCTCCTCGTTCTCTCTGTGTGCTTTCACCACGGCCAGCAGTTCTGCCAACGTGGCGCGATACGATAGGACGTTCATCAGCCGCTTGCCGTCCAGCGCCGCCCAGCTGCGCAAGTCATCATTGCTGGGCGGCATGCTGACGTCACTGTGATCAGGCGGTTTGTGGCGTCTTGCCGCTTTGCTCTTGCGACTGCTGCTGCTGCCACCCCCGCCATCCCCGTTGCCAGTTCCTCCGCTGCTGCTGCTGCTGCTCCGCCGTTCATTTCGCTGTCTCCCCCTGTCCCCGATCGCGCTACCCGCTATCTGCTCACTTAATCCTGTGTCCGCATTCTGCGCGATACTGGCCTGGAACCGACCAATAAGAACGCGAGATGTTCTGCCTGCAGCATACCTCTTGCCAGTTCCCCCTCGCAGGATTTCCGGCGGTTTGCTTGTTCTGGCGAACTTCAGAGATGTCGCGACGGTCGGTAGCACACTCAACGACCCGGCGGGGATCCGTGCGACATTTGGGATCGTGGATTTAGTCAGCGACTGCATCTGCGACGTACGGAAGATGGGCGTGGGACAGGGAAGTCTGAAAAACGCGACGCGCGCCAAGAGAACCCTACGAATGAGACTGCCAGCCACTAACGGATAACACTAATACGGAGTGCAGACTCGTCTCGTACTGGACAGCATCTCCATAACTGGTGCTTATAAGATTTCATATCTGTCAATATGCCATGAACTAGCACTTCGTTTTATCGAAGCAGAGAAATTTGATAGCAGTGCTGAAAACGAGCACTAACAAATAGTGGATTCGTTTTATCGAAGCAGATTTACCGAAAACGAGCTCTACCCGTACAGATCAAGACGAAACCGCTGACCCGTTTTCCCATAGGGAACAGGCTGGCCGTCGGGAAAAACGTTTGGCTTGATGGATTTGGTCCTACACTGCCGTCGAACGCGACAAGCACTACCACTTACGTGGATTCGATCAGGCGACGAGTTGTCAATTGGTCATGTGCCAGCGTAAGTGACGTTTTGTTTGGTTGAAGGCGGGGTGCAACTTCTTAGGAACAGTAGCAGGACAAATATGGAGTGTGTGTAACGGGACCCTTATTGGACGAAAAAAATGGAATCTCGCAAAAGACAAACCTCTCGCCACTGAACTGCCTGGGACTACCAAGTTTCAAGCTATAATACCCTGAAGTCGAAGCTGATAGTTGGGCCACGGCTTTAAGCGTTAAGACTTAAACTACAGCGGGCGTCCTTCAGGTTCTCGTCTCGAGCTTCAGGCTGTCCTCAATTATGAAGATATGGTTGGTATCCACACTGATGCGATTTCAAAACTCCATATGTCCCCTCTTGCGGCAACCACGTTGACTGTGCGCTACCGAACCTTGCTTACAAGCCTCTCCCACCAAACAGGGCTTAGCTGGCTTGAACCAAACCTCTAGCTTCGGAAACTGGCCCAGCGGGAAATTCAAATGGTAGCGAAACGAAAACGGGACAGCGAGCCGGTTGTCTGGTTCGGCTGCTCGGTTCGGATAAAAGTCCCCACCCACCCCAGTGCCCCACCAGTTTTGGCACCAGGTCACGTTTTAGGAACCACGTTAGGGGCACACTGCATTGTTTACTTCCACCACCAACAAATTCCTCGTTTCGTCCCGCCTCTCCCTGTTTGTGCAGCACTCGCTTTCTAACCAGACCAGAGCACCACTCCTTGAGTGGCATTCCCACCCTCCATGGAAATTTTGGTTGACGATTCTAGGTCTTTTCTCCAACCACCCAGCTTCAACCCTAGCAGCGGTCAACAGGACTACCCGCTCCATCACTCGCGAACGCCCTTCAACTTCGAGCCGCCCTCGACGCATTCCCGGCCTTCTCACAACTTACCCCCGTCGTCGAATAATCTTCCCGAATCGGCAGCGAATCTTTCCGCCGTAGGCGGCGCGGCATTCATGGCGAGCGCGTCGTCCGTGCCGCCGCGTCCCTCGCGGATGAAGCAGCCAGGACACAGGCGAAGCCACTCCGACGGCTTCCAGCTGGACCCCTCACTCGTGATAGCCCCGAATGGGACTCTGGCAAAGGGTGGCGGCGGCGGCGGCGGCGGCGGCGGCAGCGGTGGCGGCGGCGGCGCGGGCGGGATGGAGTTCTGGAGCATCGAGGAGGAAACCTCGTCGCACAGCGAAGAATCTTTTCATTCGCCAGGCTCCCACTATACGCACAGCCGCCACAGTCACACTCAAGGTCATGGCAGCGGAGCGCCGCAGCAGAAAGATAGGTCATCGTCGTTATCGTTCGAGAATAGAGATGACGAATATGGCGCTCAAAGCGGTTCGAGAGACGGCGAGGCGACATCGAGAATGCAAAATGTAGCCCCGCTTCACAAGCCACGTCAGCAACAGCCGCAGCAGCAGCAATACCAAGACCAGCAGAAACAGTTCAATCGATTCCACGACCAGCAACAGCAGCAACAACATATGCCCCCAGCATATCGCTCCCCTGCGCCCTCCGTCCCCGCAAGTCAAGGCGGAATTCCCGGCTCGGAACGGCGACGGTCCAAGTCGCCGCTCCCGACCGGTAGAGTTGCCGGCGTCCCGCATGTGCGGCCGCTCGAAGTCAGCCGGCCGCCCAAACCCAACGGCCCGCGCCATCGTCGCATTCGATCCGAAGATTTTTCATTTTCAGCCTTTTCTCCGAGCAGCCCGTTAAGTGGAGCCTCCGGGTCCCCTGTTAAGTCTCCCGTCGGGGCCTCTTCGCGAAACTCGCAAGAGCCCCTACAAAACTCCAGCAGTCGCCTGCGACAGTCGTCGCCGTTACAGGGATCGCAGGAATGGGCGGGAGCGACGGGACAGGAGCAGTACGGTCTAAGCCCGGGTACTGGCAGAGCCACGTCAGCACAGACGCAGCAGGCGCAGGGTAGGGCGTCGCATGGCGGCGCTTCGTCAGGCTCGCCGGGGGATTGGGCTGACGTGGATTACGGTGCCGAGATAGTTGAGGGTGATTCGCAAGGGTCCGCCGCGTCGCAGGGTGGAACCGGAGTGCCGCATATGCCCGCAGAAGAGGAACATAAGGAAGGTAGCGCCGATCAGCGGTTCACTACGAAATCGACGGCAGGGGGCAAGGGCGCGACTGAATCGGACGGTCACGGTAGCAGCGGCGGGTGGGGCGGGTTATGGTCGCGGCGCCAGAAGCAGACTAATAGCGATCTGCAACCTTTGAATACTGCAGCCTCTAAGTCCCCTACGCCTCTCAGCATTCCCCAGTCGAGCGCGAAAACGCCGCCTGCCGGTGGTGCGACGAGCCCTATCCTCTCTTGGTTCGGCGCCGGAACCGCCATCACGCCTACAGGCTCGGCAGCCGGTTCGGAAAACTCCCACGATAGCTCGCACCCGGTCTCGCCGCACCAGGCTCTACCAGCCCAGAGTCCTAAGACGAATTGGTTCGACAAAGGTTCGGGACTAGGTGCGGCAAAGACGAACTCGTTACAGACTTCCCCGCAACTGTCTCCGGTGACTCCGCCATCGAGTAGCGGCGGAATGCTCTCCTGGTTTGGCGGCGCAGGTCACGGCGGAAGCAGCGCGACGCACACGACCGCGTCTAGCGGTGACGCATCTCCGCAACAAACGGCGGGCTACAGTACCGGCAGCGGCGGTGGCGGCGGACTTGCGTCCTGGTTCGGCGGCGGCGTCGCTGGCGGCGGATCACCTTCGTCCGGACCGCCTGCGAAGGGGAAGGGCCATCGCCGTTCCTCTAGTGTCCCCGTCGTACCGAACGTCGTTCCTGATCCGCGTGCCGGACCGGGCGCGTCGCCTCTTGGTCCCAGCGCTGCCAGCGGCGGCGGCGGCGCGAATTCGAAGCTGCTTTCCGGACCGCGTGGAAGCATGTCGCGATTAGGAGGCGGAGTTGGCGGTGGTGGCGGCGGCGGTGGAGGAGCAGGAGGGTATGGAGGGAAAGGCGGTATGGTGATGAGTACAGGCGGAGTGGTTAGTCTAAAAGGCGGCCTGAAAGTGAATCTTCCAAGTACTAGCTCGTACGGGAGCCCTTACGCGAGTCCCCGAAATCCCCCGGGCGCGGCGGGATCTGCTTCCCCGTACATGCAAGGGGGAGGGGGAAGCTCGCGGAAATCGATGACTCCGGGGGGGTCGCTTTGCGCAAGCCCGCGCACTGTAGCGGCGCAAAGCGAGCGGGATCAGGCGAAACTGGCGGAGATTCAGAGCATGTTCAGCAACTGGAACGCAGGAACTCCCTTGCAATCCCCGCGAAAAGGAGCTTCCAGAATCGTTTCCGGCGTCCCGCTTAGAACGCCGCAAGTGAGCGAGTATTACAGAGAGGACGGGGATTATGAGGTGGAAGAAGAAACACCCGAAGTTCTCGGTCCGTCGAACTCAAATGCTTTGGGGAAACCGTATCAGGATTTGGAGGATAAATACAAGTTGTCGCCGAAGGAGCTTGGGCGGGGGAACTTCGGCGTGATTCACATGTGCGAGAATCTGGAAACGGGCGAGCGATACGCGTGCAAAACAATCACCAAGGCTAAGCTCGAGGTTCGTTCTAACGAGGCTAATGTGGGGATGTTGATGATGACGTGGATCATGTGAGGGGTCAAGCACGCGCAAGGTGAGTAGCATGTGGGGCAGGGTTGTTTGGGCGGCAAGTCAGGGCAGCACTGAGTGCATGGGTGGCAAGGTGGAAGGGAGCGCGTGAGGTGAGAGGGAGGAGTGATGGGCGCAGGGGGAGAGCGGAGGGGTGAGGGGCGGAAAAGAGGAGCGGAAGAGGAGGTCGCAAGGGGTGGTCACGGGAGGTCGAGTGGAGGACAAGGGGATAAGTCTTGGTTGTGAGAGAAAGCAAGAGCAGTGAGGTTGGGGTAACACCCTGCTATGTGAAAAAAAAACTTTTCAATACATGTGAAAAGTGATAAGGTGATTCAGCATGTATTGCATGTATGCTGGTGAGTGTTTTTGAGGAGCATCACCCTTCATATACTATTGCATGTACGCAGGCATGCCACATGCATACAAATCCATACACTAGCATTGGTGCATGCGTCATATGCGCGTGTATGTTCATGTTGTGCTACATTCCACTACATGACTTCACCAATTTTATACTTATATCCTTCCCAAACCCCATTCGCCCTGCAGTGTTGGGATGATGTGGACGATGTAAAGAGGGAGGTGCATGTGCTCGAGACTCTCCGGGGACACCCCCATGTCGTCTCCATCATCGAGACCATTGAAGATGAAAAAGTGAGCACTTGCATGCGATTACTACAAACAAGGCGTAATTAATAAACCTACATTATACAAACAAGCAGTTGGTCAATATGGAGTTATTTGAAGGAGAGCTCAGAGATGTACGACCATATCCTTGAGTGCAGGTACTCATTCTCCTGTGAGAACAGCCGAGGTGATTCGGTCGGTGGTGGAGGTCCAGGCCTTACCATACTCTCCCTCTCCATGCATTCCCTCCCCCCTCCCTCTCTCCTCTCCCCTGACTTCCCACACCCTCCTCAAGAAGTGCACATCATCATGGAGTTATGTGAGGGGGGAGAGCTGGTCGATCGTATCTTAGAGCGGAAGTACTACGGAGAGAGGCAGGCGGCCAAGGTGATCCGGTCGGTGGTGGAGTGGGTGGAGGTGCTGGAGTTTTCATCCCCATTGCCTGTTGCCCCCCACTCTCCCCCTTTACCAGGAAGTGCACATCATCATGGAACTGTGCGAAGGAGGAGAGCTGTTCGACCGCATATTGGAGAGGAAGTACTACGGAGAGAGGCAGGCGGCCAAGGTGATCCGGTCGGTGGTGGAGGTGCTGGATTACTGCCACCAGCGGGGGATCGTGCACCGCGACTTAAAGCCCGAGAACATCCTGCTCGTGTCCAAGAGGAGCGACACACGGTGCAAAGTGATCGACTTTGGCATGGCCTTCTGCCTCAAGCCAGGTGAGAAAGAGAGCAGTTGAGCTGAACCAGCGAGTGCAAAGTCGTTGATTGACTTTGGCATCCTGCTCGTGTCTAAGAGGAGCGACACCCGATGCAAAGTGATCGACTTTGGCATGGTGTACTGCCTCAAACCAGGTGAGAGAGAGAATGCTGAAGCTAGATGGAGCTGTATTTTGGGTCGACTAAAAAAACGACATCCGGTGCAAAGAGATCGACTTTGGCATGGCATACTGTCTCTAGCCAGGTGAGGACCTCAGAGCAGGTGAAGGAGGGAGAGAGCAGTGAAGTGAGAATCGGCTCCTTGAGGCACCTCGTAGATCACCCGATGCAAAGTGTGAGGTGAGGGTGCATGGCCTACTGCCTCAAGCCAGGTGAGGGTTCTGGGAACGCAGGAGCGGGAACCGGGAAAGCTTGTAAAGGGGATGAAATGGAATGGAATGAACGAGCTGGAACACCCAATGACAGGCGCCTGTGGAGGTCTGAACTGAATCAGTGGTCCCTATTTTGAGCCACCTAAAAAACACACCCAATGACAAGCGCCTGTGGAGGTCTGAAACAGTGGTCCCTATTTTGAGCCACCTAAAAAACACACCCAATGACAAGCGCCTGTGGAGGTCTGAATGAGTGATGCCATGGCTTCTGGTTCCAGCTGCCACCAGGTGCATTGAGGTGTATTTTGTGGCGCCTCAAAATACACCTGAATCAGTGATGCCATGGCTTCTGGCTCCAGCTGCCACCAGTGGGATATAATGTGCCGCAACTTATAGCCCAAACGCATTCTGCACTTCCAAGTTCCAATCCCAGATCAACTCTTTGCCCGCTGTACCAACCCCCCTGCCCTCCTCCCCTCCCGCCGATCCGCTCCCAATCCCATACAGGCGAGCGCTGCAAGCTGCGTGCCGGCACGCCCAACTACATCGCTCCAGAAGTCATAGCCAAGAACTATGGAGCAGAGGCCGATAGGCTCGGCTTTCTGCCCGCCTTAACAAACCTCCCTGCCCTGCCCCGCCCCCTCCTCCTCCCCTCCTCTTCCCTTTCCCCTCCCTCCCCAGCGCTGCAAGCTGCGAGCCGGAACGCCCAACTACATCGCTCCAGAAGTCATAGCCAAGAACTATGGAGCAGAGGCGGACGTGTGGAGCGCAGGGGTGATCCTTCCCTTCCCCTTGTCTTACCCGTTCTCAATCTACAGGCGAGCGCTGCAAACTGCGTGCCGGAACACGCAACTACATTGCTCCAGAAGTCATAGCCAAGAACTACGGCGCAGAGGCGGACGTGTGGAGCGCGGGAGTCATCCTTCCTTTCCCCTTGTCTTACCCGTTCTCTTCCAGGCGAGCGCTGCAAGCTAAGGGCCGGAACGCCCAACTACATTGCTCCAGAAGTCATAGCCAAGAGCTATGGCGCAGAGGCCGATCGACTCCGCTCTTTGCCCGCCTCACCAACCCCCCTTCTCTCCTCCTTCTCTCCCAATTCCTTCCTTATCCCCTGCAGATGAGCGCTGCAAGCTGCGGGCCGGCACGCCCAACTACATCGCTCCAGAAGTCATAGCCAAGAACTATGGAGCAGAGGCGGACGTGTGGAACGCCCAACTACATCGCCCCAGAGGTCATAGCTAAGAAAAATGGCGCAAAGGCCGATCGGCTCGGCATTCGGCCCGCCTTAACAGACCATACTCCCCCTCCTCCCCTAATCCCCTCCCAATCCCCAACCCCTACAGGCGAGCGCTGCAAGCTAAGGGCCGGAACGCCCAACTACATCGCTCCAGAAGTCATAGCCAAGAACTACGGCGCAGAGGCGGACGTGTGGAGCGCAGGAGTCATCCTTTACGTGCTACTTTGCGGGTTACCCCCGTTTTGGGGGGATACCACGGAGGACGTGTTCAAGAGCATCTTGTGGGAGGAGCTGGATTTTGAGACGGAGCCATGGCCGGTTGTGAGCACTGCTGCTAAGGATCTGGTGCGCCGCATGCTCACCCGCAAGTTCGACCGGCGAATCACTGTGGCTGAGATTCTGAGTAAGTCGGTGTTGGGGGTGGGTGGGTGGAATGGGGAGGGGTGGGGTGGGGTGGGGTGGGGTGCGGTGGGGTGGGGTCATGAGCAGGTGGGTCAGCGCCGCATGCTCACCCGCAAGTTCGACCGGCGGATCACTGTGGCTGAGATCCTGAGTAAGTCGGTGTTGGGGGTGGGGGCGGTGTGCTTCTGTGGGGGAAACCTGGGGCTGAATTGGCCTGGAAAACCCAACCAAATAGAACCAAACCGCTCAGAACCACAGAGGACGTGTTCAAGAGCATCTTGTGGAGAAATCAGAGAAGATGAGAACGAGGCCTGGTGGTGGCAGGCTCCCACCAACTCCCTGCATCCTTCCCCAAACCCTCTTCTCCCCCCCCCCACGGTGGAGATTCTTAGAGAAGGTGCGAAGAAAGTTTTTATTTTCTTAGGGGCCTAAATTTTTGCACAAAGATGGAAAATATCGAGGCGCCTGGTGAATCGCTTCATATAGGAGCAGATAATGAAGATATTATGCTGCCTGCCTGGTGTGGGTGGATGGGTAGAGCAGTGATGGGAGAGTGGGCTCATCTGCCCACACATGCAAACTCGTACTCACATTCACTCGCATATACACACGTACTAACGCATTCTGATACAAAATCACATATACTCGCACATTTTTGCATGTACACACACATGTGCTTACATTCCCACTTCTCACCCGCATAAAGTCATTTTTTCACTCATCGATTTATGCAAGCAACATCGTTCCCTCCGTCCCTACCCTTCCCCGCCCCCTCCAATGCTCCCGCCCTTGCCCTTTATCCTGTAGTACTGGTAACTCTTGAAGCCTCCATCCCTTCCTTTCCCGTCATAATCTTAGACTCTTCTGCCCCCCCTTTCCCGACCTTACCCCTTGATTATTCTCTCCTTCCCTCACCCATCTCCCCTTCCCCCTTCTCCCCCCCACCCTCCCTCTCTCAGAGCACCCATGGATCAAGGCACTGACATGAGAGATTCTAGCAGGCTGATCAGCGAAATCAACAGCTGAGATCAGATTATGACAAGGCTGATGTAGAGAAAAGGGGGGAGGGGAGGAGGGGGTATGATGGGCGTGATTCCCCTCTCCTGTAACTTGATGATGCTGCTGCCACCGTGTGAACTACCACCTAAGGGTAGTACCTGTGGGTGCCTGATTCAATATCGTTGGTCAATATTTTAATAGGCACACCGATAGTCGTTTCAAAGGGTGGTGTTCATCCATTTCTCCCAAGTCAAGCCTTGAGAGAGCCATGTGAATTTGAACTAGAGTGCTGTGACCTCTAGTATGAGGAGCCAGGTACTTCACTTCAACCCTGAACTCTATCGTACCTGGTATAAGCAAGCAAGCAGTTGTTCGTAATTGCAGCTCATCCAAATTCATGGGTGCTATGATTATCGAAACCTAAGCATGAAATCAAGATACTTAGGCATAGGCTAGCAAAATGCTACATAAGCATACAAAACATTCCAATATCTATCAACAAAGAGAGTGTTGATTTGAATCCAGCAAGATTTATGTAAAACAAGCTTCAAGCTGCACAACACACGACCGCCTGTGGAAAGCAGCCTCTGAAACCAAATCGGGGATTCTCCTCAACGGGTCCTTATGAAGATCTGTGAGTCGTGACTGGTTCGACACAAGCTTCACCAATCGCGTGCGTCTCAACGTAATCTTCAGGTCTGCGTCGCTGACATCAACCGTCAAGCTTTCTGGCTGTAAAGCGCAAAGTGCGTGCTTGCGTGGGAGAAGATTTTTCTTGCTAGTGACTTCGCTGTGCCTTGCTGTCAACGGATTTTAACAATTACTGTTGTGACGTTCCCCGAAGCAGAGAAGAAGAATTTACAAAAGAAAAAATATACTATAAATGTCGGGAAACATGTCCACATTAAAACAAATTGTTTCCTGTTGGCATGATATGTGCTTGTTTTCCATTTGCGCTAGACAGTTCATACTAGCCGAAGAAGGTAAATATGGAATGAACAAGCAAGATTGAGTCTGCCGAACAGTTGAGCGAGAGGCACATGGGCTGGATTCGGTACAGGCTGTCACGCAAAGTTGGCGTGGTTGCAGTGAATAGTAATCAGGCGATGTGCAGCCTGGATTGCAAGCTGCGCGCACATGGTCTATCCAATCACCACTAGTATCAACTCCCAGCAGCTGACCCGGCTTTTACGAAAATTTTCAATAACCGTAGGGCGAAAAATGCAGCAGTGTAGCATTTTCTGATAAGGATGGATGCCGAGTGGTGAACGAGTTTCAAGGACCAAATTAGCTGCCCTTGTAAACAAACACCATCTGGAGGTGGGCAGCACGTTGTGGTTGTATTAGCGGTGCGCAGTGTCAAAATGAAGGCCAGCTCCTCACCATTTCAATCCACGCTGGCACTGCCAAATCCGCGTTTCTTTCCACTGTTTCGTCAAGTTTTTGCTTACACGGGCAGCCCGGCATATGTACGCCACAAACTTCCCCACCAGAAGGAAAGAGCGTAACAAAACGTTGCAGTCGCGAACCAACGGCCTCTGCTGTTCATGCCTCGCCGCTGCCCCCATGTGCATGCCATACCAACCCAATCTCCCACCCAATCTCCCTATCCCACCCAATCTTGCCCCACCCAATCTCCCCATCCCACCGTCAATTATCCCGACATTGCAATTCATTACCGCCCCAACGGACCAGACTGGACACAACCGGTTAGTACACTCCCAAATCACCTAGCTAGCTGGTAATGGCTGTACTGCTTTCCTTGCACGACGCTCCGATACCCTTGCCTTCATCACCCCATGGTTGCCTTGCCTCCTCTCTTTCCTCAACCAAGTTACTTTCCACAACTGCTAAAATCGTTCGCACATGCTCTTGCTCGCTTAAGCAGTGTTGTCACCCTCTCCTGACTAGTCACTCCAATTCCGACATAGTTTCTCTCCTGTTTGAGTCACCCACTCACAGTCTCTAAGTAATCTACCCAGGCAGAGACTGATACAGTCTGGTGAAATACAGAAAATTCTCGAACCGTATTCGTTCTTTGACACAACTCCCGAAAAAATAGACTCTGCCATCGCATGGCTGCAGCAGCCGCTAGAGGCTGGGAAGAGACCACCGCGCCGCATATGAATAAGTACGCCATGTTCGCTCCCGGTACCGACCGCACCATCAGCAAGGAAGAATGGCGCCGCCAGCAGGCGACGCTGATTAAAGCCATCGACCCGGAATTTTCGGGTAGCCTCGTGTGCCCTGTTACCGTCCGCAACTGGCGGAAACTCGAGGAGAGCGCCGCGTCGTCAACTGCCGACAACGCGGCGGCAGACCTGTCGGATTTTAACGGCATGGCGGCTGCTACGGAAACGACAGCGGCGGCGGATAAACTGGCGCCTCCGCCGAGTGCGGAGGGTGTATCATCAGGCTATTACCCGCGTTCTGTTGCTTCCTCGACCCCCACGTCCTCGGTCTCCACCTTCGCCGATTCATCCGCGTCTGGCGCATCAAGCGCGTCGCTTTCCCCCAGTCCGCCTCCCCCGGGTGCGCTCGACGTTCCCCCTTCCCCCAGTGCCGCCACCGCACCCGCCACCGCACCCGCCACCGCACCCGCCGCCGCACCCGCCGCCCCCGGTAGTACCGGCACGTCGGCCGCCAGCTCCCCCGCCAACTCGGGGAAGCTCCCGCGCGCCCGCATGTCGCTCGCGCAGCAGATTCGCGAGCAGCAGATGAACTCGGGCAGATTCAAACCCTTCGCTTCGGGCAGATTTCCCGAAGGGATGTCGGGTAGTGGGCGGTTCCCCATGTCGCCCCTGGAACCGAATTCGGGTCCCAACTCAGGAAGGTTCTCCGCAGTTTCGCCTTCTTCCAGCCAAGGCAACTCGGGCGCGTTCCCCAGCCCCGCCGGGCACTACGCGACGAGATCGATGGGCGCGGACGGGGGCAGCGCAAGTGGACCGCTTGCGATGAAGCAGCCGGCGGCGCTTTGGCGACAGGGCAGCGACGGGCATCGCATGGGCGGTGCGACGATGGAGCAGAGTCGCATGGCGGGTGCGACGATCAATACCATGCAGCCGGGCCAGCAGGCTCCGCCGATGGGTTTCTGCATGGGCGCGCAAATGATGGGCGCGCAAATGATGGGCGCGCAAATGATGGGCGCGCAAATGATGGGCGGGCCCCCTGCGACGAGCCCTCCTGCGATTGGTCCGTCGCAGAGCAATAATCAGTCGCCGCGCGATATGATTCTTCTCCGCCCGAATAAGTGGAGCGGCGCCAACGTCGCCGATGCTCCCCTCGTCCCGACCTTTGGCTCGTCCGCCTTTTCCGATAGTGAGTTCCCCGCTCTTAAATACACATGGCAAAATGTTTTCAGCGGTGTAGATTGAAAAGAACGCGATAATTTGAGAAGGTTTTTTCTGCTTCCGGAACTGCTCCTTAACACTTTCTTTCCTGTGCGCTTTACTCCCCGCTACCCCTGCTCCCCTACCCGCAGCTGCATCGCAATGCTCAAGCCACGATTCTTTCGCCTCGACCCCTCAGCTCTCTCGGCCCGTTCCGTCCTTCGCCTCGCGCCCGCCCAACACGGGCAGCTGGGATGGCGGCAATGCGGATGACGAGGAGGAAAAAGAGCTCGATTTCTCCTCAGTCCGCTCCGTATGCCTCAATTTCGAGGAGGTCTTAGAAATCGCCGAGACGAAGGAGTTTAACCGAGTGCGAATCGAGACCATTGATATTGTCCCGTTGATTTCCGGGATGAAAAGCCCCTTCATGGCTGCAGCTGCCGCGAACCTTCCCGAGCACGTGCTGTTCGCTCTGACGTTTTCCGGGTCGGATGAAATTTACCTGCCCGGCGACGAGTCGATTCTGAAACTTTTTCCAAGCCGGTATCAGACGAGGTACTGGGAGCAGGAGCGGCGGAGGCAGGAGGAGAAGGGTAAGAAGGAGACGAAAATGTGGCAGTCGTGGCAATCCCAAGGAAATCCGAATATGCAGGAGCAGCAGGTGTGGCAACCGCCGCCATCACCTCAGCAGCAGCAGCAACAGCAGCAGCAGCAGCAGCAACAGCAGCAACAGCAGCAGCAGCAGCAACAGCAGTGGCAGCCGCAGGAGCAGCAGCAGCCTCTGCAGCAACAGCAGTGGCAGCAGCAACAAAAGCCTCCGCAGCAGCAGCAGCAGCAGCAGCAGCAGCAGCAGGGACAGCAGCAGCAGCAGTGGCAGCAGCCACAGCAGCCTCAGCAACAGCAGTGGCAGCAGCAACAACAAAACTGGCAGCAGCAGCAGCCTCCATTCCAACAGCAGCAGCAGGCTCCTCAGCACCAGCAGCAGTGGCAGCAGCAGCAGGGACAACTGCAGCAGCCTCAATGGTAACAGCTGGTACAGCTCCAGCTGTAGCTCAGTGACAAAGGTAGCATGGCAACACCCGGGTGCAGTGACCCCACTGTTTCTTAAGCCGCGTGATTGGTTCTTCCCGTCTCTTGCCTGAATGGTAACAGCTGGCACAGCCCCAGGGTAGCATGGTACCCCCCAGTCCTGTGCTCAGGTGCCGTCGCCGACATCACCCGTGTGAAGATACTGGAGGGTGTTGGTTGGGTTGGGTTTTGTGCAGCATTGTTTTTGTTGGTGGAGGAAACACGTGTCTTTAGTTCATCTGCTTGCTGCAGATTGCTGTAGTGGCTGTGAATGAGTTTTTTTTTTTTTTAACTTACCGTACAATGTTGACCAATGCCTTTCTCAAATGGAGCAAGCGCCAGCCATGTATCTGTGAACCATGCCAGAAGGTTGTTGAAGAGGAGCCAGCGATTTCACGTAACATTTCACGTAATGGCGAATCACCCCACCACTCCATCCACTGAATATGCATTTCGGAACAATAAGTCTCACGATTATTTTAATCTACGACTATTGGAGTTGCTTTTTGACGAGTGTAGCAGTCAGGCGATAGATGAAAATTGCGGCGGTGATCCTTCGCGCGAAGCCTCGTCTCGCCACGCAAGCTCTTGCCAGCTCACGAGCTGTCACACTTTGTGACTATAACAACGCTGCCAACAATTTTCCCGCGTGGCAAGTTTGTCCCTCGTTACTGCGAAAGTCTTGAGGTGTTCAATCAACAAGCTCCGTCCTTGTAATAGCGCCGTCCTAAATATCGCTGAATCGCTCTGCAATACAGCATAACCGTAATAAAGCATGGTTTCGGCGGGACGCGTTTGCCCATGAACCATCATTGGTCCTCAGAACGCGAACAAACAACCAAAGCACGCCAATCCCGAGGTCGCCATTGCTTATTACAAAGTCCAGACGCCTTTGTAGTCAAGGGCAAGGTTTCTCACACCAAATCATCTCGTAATTTTCCCCATTACGAGCTGTCAAGATACACCCTTGCCTCTCAGCATTATCTTTCTCGGCCTCTTGCTTTGGATCCGCCGTCGAGCGCTGCGTCCAGCCGTCCTCTTCAACCCTGCATAAGCTGCTTCTGGGACTAATTTCAATGAAATAAGGCTTTCGATAAAACTGCCGTTTCTGTTTGAACGGTTTTCGTCACCTTTCTGTTCAAGATCTAAGACGACCAACTTCATCGATCTCGACAGATTCTCAGCCGCTAGCATTCCAGTACTTTTCAACTGATTCAGCCAACCTCCACGGGCTCCTCGCGTCGTTTTCCTCGAGACTCCTCCCCTCGTTACTACCTTTGGTTCAGCAAAACAACAACAACACAAACCATGGCGTCGAGCGGAAGCTTCTGGACGACCGCGCGAATGTTTGTGCCGTCTGCGCTGGAGACGCCTCGCGATCGGGACCAACGCGTGTTCGTCGCTTCGCCCGTGGAATCCGTCGCGCAGCATAGCGCCGAGCATAAAGCGAAGGTTCAAGAGTGCATCAATGGTGAGTTTCTTCCTAGATTAGACTATGTCCCTCAATTATTGTTCGCCCTTTTCCATTTTTTTTTTTTTTTCCCAGATTGAAAACTATACGCTCAGTACTGCACGTACTTTTCTGCTCATGTGCTCTCCTCGCAACACAACGTACAGCTCATTAGCAACAGCGAACACCTGGTTTCCCTGCTAACCAAAGTCATGTCGTGATACTTACCATCCGTCTTGTTTTTCTCAACAAACCTCTCTGTTTGCCATCCCATCGACTTGCAGCCGGCGTGCGGGTGGGGTTTTATAATGCTGCGTGGGCAGCCGCGCTTACAACGCCCCCAACAGTGAGCTTCTCCACTTCCCCTTTATTTTATTTTATTATGTTTTTTTTCGGGAAAAAATACAATAAAGAATAGTTAGAATGAAGCACTTGTTTAGGATGCCCCAACAGTGGGGCTTTCATCATCCCCTTGGCTGATTGGAGGCATCGTGTTTGAGATATTTTGAGTCGACTCAGAAACTGAGTCGACTCGCACCTCGTGTTTGTGATGCTGCTCAAAGATTGAAACACGCTCACTGCGCTGCCCGCATCAGTGAAGCTTTCTACCTCCGCGTTGTCTCCTTTGAAGCGTGAATCCCTGTTTCTCTGATTCTGAGGCGAGGTTTTGATAACATTCATTCATCAGCCACCTTCTCCCCTTTTCGTTACATAACGCTTACTGCAAGGTGCATGCCATTGTTTATCTCACAAAGACCTTTCCTATCCCCCTTAAGCTTTCCTAATTCCCTGTCCCGACGCAAGCACCATCCTCCTCCCCAATTTCCACTTTCCTATCACGCTTCACAATCAAATCTGATCGTTTTCTGCCGGGCTGTAGTTTGTTTCAAAACAGCAAAGGTTCAGAGTCATGAAATTGTAACCCTTCTGCGCCATCCTCCATATCTAGTCAGATCATAATATGCCGAACCATGCCGTGGGCCAAGAAGCACCCGAACTAGCTGGGTCTTCCGTATCAAAGTTCTCAACATTAAACCCTGCTGCTCCCTCGTCCATATCTGGCCAGATCATAATATGCCGAACCATGCCGTGGGCCAAGAAGAATCTCAACCACACAGCACAGGCTCTTATCATCAGCTCAGGTGGGTGGGAAGTGATCGTGTGATTTTAATTGAGTCTGACATAAGTCAACTCCAAAGCACAGGCTCTTATCATCAGCACAGGTGGGTGGGTGGGAATTGATCGTGTGATTTCAATTGAGTCTGACATAAGTCAACTCCAAAGCACAGGCTCTTATCATCAGCACAGGTGGGTGGGAAGTGATCGTGTGATTTTAATTGAGTCTTACATAAGTCAACCACACAGCACAGGCTCTTATCATCAGCACAGGTGCGTGGGAAGTGCCTGTGCGTTTTCCGTTGCGTAAACTTCTAAGTAAACCACACAGCAAGGCTGTCCAGTGTCCTCATTGGCTCTGTTAGTTAAACTCTCTTGTTCTGGTCTCGTCTGAGCAGCCGCCATTGCCGCGTATTTCATCACATAGGAGCATATTATAATGGATTGCACACGCCGCCCCTCCCCCACACATTTTCCTCTTCCCGTTTGTCTGAGCAGCCGCCATTGCCGCGTATTTCATCACATCGGAGCACACTATAATGGAGTGCACACACCGCAACTCTATGGATGCAATTCAGGCCAAGAGGAAAGCCAATGCTGAAGCTGCTGGATCGCAATAGCTGCTGGGCACTCTGTTCAAGTGCGGATTTGATGCATCATTTCGTTTGATTGGACACATGTGTGAATCGTTTTTTTCTTCTTCAGTTTGCTGTATTGTCTCAGAAGCATGCGTTGGTGCCCTGCACTGCACGTGCTGAGCTCATTTAATTACCTTATATTGCCTGCAAGCAATTGCGTCATGTTGCTGCACCACCTGCTCTCGGTGTATTTTATGATTAGGAGGGGAGCAAGCAGCTTTCTAGTTGAGAGGTTTTTTTTGCAATACATGAATGTGAGGCAATTTACAAGCTAGCCACATTATGGATGCTCTACGAGGGGGCGTTGAGAAAATGGTCATAATCTAGACTATACAACAAAGTAAACACCACAAACGCCACAGGCTGCTCTGCCTGCCCCTGTGGTCGCCACATGGTCTTTTGAAACACCACAAACGCCTCCCTCCCCTCCTTCACCAGCACCGTCTGGCTCCACCCCAGCCCCCTCGCCACCAGTCACTCTCTCCTGCTTCTGTTGTGTCTGCCCCAACCTATTCCCCCGGCCACCACTTGTTATGGCTGCTGCTGCTGTTGTTGCTGCTGCTGCTGCTGCTATTGCTGCTGCTGCTCTGCCTGCCCCTCTGGTCGCCACATGGTCTTCTGAAACACCACAAACGCCTCCCTCCCCTCCTTCACCAGCACTGTCTGACTCCACCCCAGCCCCCTCGCCACGGCTTGTAGGAAGGGGATGTGCTGCGCGTGCTCCCGAGCTATCAAGTAGCCAAACGGACGCAGGATTCGGTCGATCTCGACTGCTATGTCTGCTGCCTCGCACCTACAAAAGGAAGCGGAGGGAAAGAGGGGAAAGAGTCAAAGGGTTTGGTTTTGGGTTCTAGAGGGGAAGAGAGAAAAGCCCCCTGGCCACGGCTTGTAGGAAGGGGATGTGCTGCGCATGCTCCCGAGCTATCAAGTAGCCAAAGGGACGCAGGATTCGGTCGATCTCGACTGCTATGTCTGCTGCCTCGCATCTGGGAGGGGAAGGAAAGAGGGGTTTGAAGTTAAAGGGAGAGAGAGGGGAGCGGGATGCGCTGCGCGTGCTCCCGCTATGTCTGCTGCCTCGCACCAGGGAGGGGAAGGTAGGGGAGGATGGTTCGTGGTTCAGAGTTTCGGGTGCAAGAGGGAGAGAGGAACATGATGTGCTGCTGAGCATGCTCCCTCCCGAAATATGAAGTACCCCCAAGGTGCTGTGAAATATGAGGTATTCGACCGATCTCGGCTGCTATGTCCGCCCTGAAGTACCCCCAAGGTGCCAATCGGTCTTGTGACATTATTTTGCAGCTCGCTGAGAAATAATGCCACAAGACCCCCAGGGGCGGAGGATTCGACCGATCTCGAGGTGACTTTTGAGTCGACTCAAATGTCACAAGATTCCCAGGGGCGGAGGATTCGACCAATCTCGGCTGCTAGGTCCGCCCTGAAGTACCCCCAAGGTGCCTCGTACCTGGGAGGGGAGGGAATGAGGTTTCGAGGTTCAAAGCCTAGAGTTTAGGAGGAAGATGAGCGCTGTAATGGTGATCCGAGTGCACGAGGTCTGTAGGTACGTGGATACGTGTTGAACGCCTCACACCACTCGTGGTACACACCCAGCAGCGCCTCAGTTCTCTGCTGTTAGCCCAGCAGGCCCCTTGATGCCCAGTCGTGGTACACACCCAGCAGCCCTCTCCTGTCAGCCCAGCTGCCCTTAGCACACAGCCGTCAGCCCAGCAGCCCTTAGCACACAGCCGTCAGCCCAGCAGCCCCCAGTCCAGCAGCCCAGGCCCCAGCCCTCACCTCTTTTCAGTCAACGCCTTTCCGAAATGGTGATCCGAGTGAACGAGGTCGTATGTCCGTGGATACGTGTTGAACGCCTCACACCAGTCGTGGTATACTCCCAGCAGCCCCCAGCAGCCCCCAGGCACATGCCCCCTGTCCCCAGACCCCAACTCTCACCTCTTGTCAGTAAGCGCCTTCCCGAAATGGTGATCCGAGTGAACGAGGTCGTAGGTGCGTGGATACGTGTTGAACGCCTCACACCAGTCGTGGTACACGCCCAGCAGGCCTCTCTCGAAGACAACTGGCAGGGTGTCGGGGCTGGTCGTGGGAACCACGTTCATCGTCCACACTGGCTTGGCCTTTTCCAAAGCAGCACCGAAACTGGATGGGGAGTTGAAGGGGGCAATGGGGAAATCTTAAGCTATCGAGTAGGGAGTTAGCACGACTGGCAGGGTGTCGGGGCTGGTCGTGGGGACCACGTTCATCGCCCACACGGCCTTGGACCTCTCTAGAGCAGCGCCAAAGCTGGGGATTGGTGGGCAAGCATGGAAGGGAAGGGCAATGAGGGAAGAGCAGCAGTCATGGTACACTCCCAACAGCCCGCGATCGACGATGACTGGCAGGGTGTCGGGGCTGGTCGTGGGCACCACATTCATTGTCCACACGGGCTTGGCCTTTTCTAAAGCAGCACCAAAGCTGAGAGACGGGGGTCAAGAGGGAAAGGCAAGCAGAGGAAGGGCAATGAGGGAAGAGCACTGGACTCCCAGCAGCCCTCTGTCAAAGACGACTGGCAGGGTGTCGGGGCTGGTCGTGGGGACCACGTTCATTGTCCACACAGGCTTGGCCCTCTCCAGGGCAGCGCCAAACCTGGGGATCGGTGGGCAAGCAGGGGAAGGGCCAGCATGGAAGGGCAATGAGGGAAGAGCAGCAGTCATGGTACACTCCCAGCAGCCCTCTCTCGAATATGACTGGTAGGGTGTCGGGGCTGGTTGTGGGGACCACGTTCATCGCCCACACTGGCTTAGCCCTCTCCAGAGCAGCGCCAAAGCTGAGAGACGGGGTTCAAGAGGGAAAGGCAAGCAGAGGAAGATCAATGAGGGAAGAGCACCAGTTGTGGTACACTCCCAGCAGCCCGCGGTCAAAGATGACTGGCAGGGTGTCGGGGCTGGTCGTGGGTACCACGTTGATCGTCCACACAGGCTTAGCCCTCTCTAGAGCAGCGCCAAAGCTGAATGGGGGAGTTGAAGGGGGCAATGGGGAAATCTTAAGCTTAGTGAGTCGGGAGTTAGTATGACCGGCAGGGTGTCGGGGCTGGTTGTGGGCACCACGTTCATCGCCCACACGGGCTTAGCCCTCTCTAGAGCAGCACCGAAACTGGGAGATGTGGAGCACGTAGGGGAAAGACAATGAGGGGAAGACAATGAGGGGAAGACAATGAGGGGAAGACAATGAGGGGAAGACAATGAGGGGAAGACAATGAGGGGAAGAGAAGCAATCGTAGCACCAGTCATGGTACACTCCCAGCAGCCCTCTGTCGAAGATCACAGGCAGGGTGTCGGGGCTGGTTGTGGGCACCATGCTCATTGTCCATACGGGCTTGGCCCGCTCCAAGGCAGCACCGAAGCTGGAGGATAGGGAGACGGGGATGGTGGGCAAGAAGGGGAAGGACAATGAGGGGAAGAGCCCCGTCAGGTTGCACGCTTTTTGCTAAGTTCCGCTCGCCCTCCCAGTTGATCCCCAGCCCATCCACGTAGGGTTGCACAACTCGCTGCCAATGCAACCAGAGGTGCGGAAGAGAACAACTCACTCACCCGCCATAGTGTGCATCCATATCAAGCACGTTCCGCACGCCCTCCCACACGTGGAGAACCGAAGTGCTTCCCAGGTGCCTCACGCCCACTCCCAACCATCCCATCCCCACTCACCTGCCATAGTGCATCCATATCAAGCACGTTCCGCACGCCCTCCCAGTTGATCCCAAGCCAATCCACGTAATCCCGTACCACCCGCTCCCAATGCCCCACATTGTGCTGATACTCCTTCACCACTGGCAAAGAAGCAACTCAGCTGCTCCCATCCATCCAATCCCCACTCACCCGCCGTAGTGTGCGTCCATGTCCAGCACATTCCGCACGCCCTCCCAGTTGATCCCCAGCCCATCCACATAATGCCGCACCACCCGCTCCCAATGCCCCACATCGTGCTGATACTCCTTCACCACTGGCCGCCCATACACCCCCACCACCTCCCCTCCTCTCTCCTCCCCTCTCTCCTCCCCTCCCTCCACCCCTCCTACTCTCCCGGTCTCCTCCCCTCCCGCCTCCTCTCTCATCTTTCTCCCCTTCCCTCTCCCCAACCACCCTGGAACCGCAGTCAACCGCTCTTCACCCTCCGCCGGCCACGTGCCGCCCCTCTCCTCCTTCCCGGGCGGCACTGGACGGAGGCACGTCTGCATGGGGATATACCACGCCGCATCTGCGTTGTCCTGTAGTGGGCACATGGGCGGCAGCGCGCCGGCCGGCCGGGCGGCGTAGCAGTCGTTGCCGGTCGGCTTCTGCCACACGGCTACCCCAATGCCAAACCCGTGGCTGATCTTCTTGCCAACTCTCTTCCAGCACATACTGATGGTGAGATTTGTCATGGCTGGGAGGGGAAGAAGGAAGGGGGAAAGCGGGGGGAGGAAGTAGGGAGGGAGAAGAGGGATAGATGGAGAAGGGAGAGGTGGGGCTTTGTTGTGACTTCTGCCACACGGCTACCCCGATGCCGAACCCGTGGCTGATTTTCTTGCCCACCCGCTTCCAGCATATGCTGGCTGTGAGGTTTGTCATGGCTGACACAGTTGGGAAGGGGGGGAACGGGGAGAAATGTGGGGGAAGGAAGATGTGTGTGTCTCCACCCCGATGCCGAACCCGTGGCTGACCTTCTTCCCCACGCGCTTCCAGCACATGCTGGTGGTGAGGTCAGTTAATGCTCAACACCTTCCCAACCGCCTCTCACCTGCCCATATCCCCTCGTCATCAGGCACACTTCTTGCACACGGGGGTGGCCAACCAGACGAAGCACCTCCCTCTGAATTGCACCATCTGAAACCGTATGTCACCTCACACCTTTCAACCGGTTCTCACCTGCCCATATCCCCTCGTCATCAGTGCCTTTGGCAGCGCACTCCTTGCACACGGGGGTTGCCGACCAGATGAAGTAGGCCCCCCCCT